AGTACTCCGGGAATCACTGACCTGGAACAAACTATGCAGGTCAGGGGCCCCGGAATCTACTGGCTGTGTAAATAGGTCAGTGACTCCCTGCTGAGGTATGCAAAGTGTAGTCACCCACAGTAACCAGCCTTCATCCTGCTGGGTAAGAGATGAGTTCTGATTGGTCAGTACGGGATGTCCCACTTTGGACACTTTCATGCTACTACTTTTATATCGAGATGCCGGTAACTTTTGTTTTACAGAAAGAAAGTCTGTGCTAAAATAAATGTAAACCCAATCACTAAGATGGCGCGGTAACCTGCTCATTACCTCTCGCTTTACTGCAACCATGTGATGAGTCGGTGCAACGTGGCGACATTCATTCTGAATGGCACACCAATGGACCGTCCGAGGGACACAGGGAACCATTTTTTGGCAGACCACTGGACCATGCATTAGTGTGCTGCAAAGTGCGTCCATCGGAGTGCCATTCAAAATCAATGCATTACACGCCCATTGCCGAATGTTGTGGCATGCATCATTGTTTGGCAGCAACAGGTTAGCGATGTTAGTTCACAACTTTATATCCTGACAGTGTCCCTTTAAATTTTTTTTTTAAAGTGTGGAGTTATGCTTTAATACACGCATCAACCTTTTCAAGTACAGCTGCTGGGAAACTGCAAGACACAGCATACCCCCGCTAGCTTTCACCAGTATCAGCTGCTGGGGAACTGCAGGACCCAGTGTGCCCTGCCATCCAGTACCAAAACCACTGCTGGGGAACTGCAGGACCCAGTGTGCCCTGCCATCCAGTACCAAAACCACTGCTGGGGAACTGCAGGACCCAGTGTGCCCTGCCATCCAGTACCAAAACCACTGCTGGGGAACTGCAGGACCCAGCATGCACTGCCAGCTTCCACCAATAACCAATGCTAAGGAACTACAAGACCCAGCATGCTCTGCCAGCTTCCACCAGTAACCACTGCTGAGGAACTACAAGACCCAGCATGCTCTGCCAGCTTCCTCCAGTAACCACTGCTGGGGAACTACAAGACCCAGCATGTCCTGCCAGCTTCCACCAGTAACCACTGCTGAGGAACTACAAGACCCAGCATGCTCTGCCAGCTTCCTCCAGTAACCACTGCTGAGGAACTACAAGACCCAGCATGCTCTGCCAGCTTCCTCCAGTAACCACTGCTGAGGAACTACAAGACCCAGCATGCTCTGCCAGCTTCCACCAGTGACCACTGCTGGGGAACTGCAAGACCCAGCGTGTCCTGCCAGCTTCCACCAATAACCAATGCTAAGGAACTACAAGACCCAGCGTGTCCTGGCAGCTTCCACCAGTAACCACTGCTGGGTAACTACAAGACCCAGCATGTCCTGCCAGCTTCCACCAGTAACCACTGCTGGGGAACTACAAGACCCAGCATGTCCTGCCAGCTTCCACCGGTAACCACTGCTGGGGAACTACAAGACCCAGCATGCCCTGCCAGCTTCCACCAGTGACCACTGCTGGGGAACTGCAAGACCCAGCGTGTCCTGCCAGCTTCCACCAGTAACCACTGCTGGGGAACTACAAGCCCCAGCATGTCCTGTCAGCTTCCACCAGTAACCACTGCTGGGGAACTACAAGACCCAGCATGTCCTGCCAGCTTCCACCAGTAACCACTGCTGGGGAACTACAAGACTCAGCATGCCCTGCCAGCTTCCACCAGTAACCACTGATGGGGAACTACAAGACTCAGCATATCCTGCCAGCTTCCAACAGTAACCACTGCTGGGGAACTACAAGACCAAGCGTGTACTGCCAGTTTCCACCAGTAACCACTGCTGGGAACTACAAGACCCAGCATGTCCTGCTAGCTTCCACCAGTAACCACTGCTAGGGAACTACAAAACCCAGCATGTCCTGCCAGCTTCCACCAGTAACCACTGCTGGGGAACTACAAGACCCAGCATGCCCTGTCATCCTCCACCAATAACCAATGCTGAGGAACTGCAAGACCCAGCATGCCCTGTCAGCGTCCACCAATAACAATCAGCGCATAATCCATGTTACTTTATCATCTGCACTGTCCAATCAGCACCTTGCAGTGCGAGCGGAACCCCACAGCAAGGGCACTTAGCCCCTGCAGTGCGAGGGAAACCCCACAGCAAGGGTTAATATTTTATATCCCCGGAGTTCTTCTTTAATAATTTTAATGTCTACAAAACAGAAAAGTAGCAAGAAAAGACAAATCTCGGGAGTGCACAGAAAGTGAGAGCGCCGCCGATAGAGTACAAGTCCAGGCAAGTTTTGTTTAGCATGGCAATAGATCACTAGAAAAAAAGCCAACGCGCTTCGGGGCTCAACACTTCCCCTTCACCAGGGCCGAGAAACAAAATACCATTAAACATAATAAAATCCTACAAAGCCCAAGCCTGCAACATCAGAGACGTACATTTTATTGGACAGCTGGAGCTTGAAGCAGATTGAATTTTAAGCTGTAATTGGACACTCTGATTGCCTTGTACATCATTCACAGCGCATCCTATTAAAGGACAACTCCACTTTGTATTTGAAAAGTGTCACATGACACAGACTCTTAATCAAAATCGCCGGTTGCCTTTGCGTTAGACTCTGAGTCTTCCCATGGCGTTCTAAAAGTGCTACAAAATTTCAGCTCTCTTCCCTGCAACCAAGACAGCGGTACTGCAACCAAGACAGCGAGACTTGCAACCAGAGTTACTCCAGGCACAACTTTTTCCAGTTTTAGATAAAGTGGGTTGGGGATTGGGACAAATCCCTGTCTGGTTCCGTTACTGCTCTCTGCAACCCTGCTGGAGAGATTTAAAGCTGAACTCCGGGATATGCAAATATTGTCTGCATATACGAGTCATGTGACTACTTCCTTGACTCTTGGTGAGCTTTGTGTATTTCTTCCAGATCTGTGCAGGAATCCAGTGAGACACGGAGCTTCCTGTAATAAAGACCGGTCACTGCTGCTCTCTCTTCTTTACAGGGTGACTGACCTGGTCTCCGCCCCCTCCTGTAATAAAGACCGGTTACTGCTGCTCTCTCTCCTTCTACAGGGTGACTGGTCTTCTCTCCGCCCCTTCCTGTAATAAAGACCAGTCACTGCTGCTCTCTTCTTTGCAGGGTGACTGACCTGGTCTCCGCCCCCTCCTGTAATAAAGACCGGTTACTGCTGCTCTCTCTCCTTCTACAGGGTGACTGGTCTTCTCTCCGCCCCTTCCTGTAATAAAGACCAGTCACTGCTGCTCTCTCTCCTTGTGCAGGGTGACTGGTCTTGACTCCACCCCCTCCTGTAGTTTTCTGCAGACAGTCTGTGGTAGATGGACCTGCTGGGCCCCTCCCACAGCTCTCCTCTATGCACAGGCTGTGTAAATCACAGGCTCTGATGTCACTGCTATTTGTCCAAAGTAATATCTGGGTTGGCAAATACGTTTTTGTACCCAGAGTTCTTTTTTTCTTCTTTTGGTAGCCGGAGTTCAGCTTTAAAACGACAAATCCTTCCAGGACGAGGACCGATGCGATATCACCCCAACAGGGACACACAGAGCAATAAAATGTCAGAACGAATCTCTAAGTCTTCTCCGCACTGTCCAAAGCAAAGAAAAAGTTTGGGCTGGGTCCAAAAGTCAACACAGCACAGACACAACAACCAAATTACCAGCCAATCTAACGGGTGAAAACATTTTCGTTGACATCGTGATTAAAATAAATCTAAAAGCCAAAACTTTTTTTTCTATACTTTTTTTTTGCTGTCAGATCCTGTTGGGGAGATTCCCCTTCACTTCCTGTCCCTGAGAACAGGAAGGGATGGGAAATGCCTCCAAAGTGACAGCTATCACTGGAACAAGTGCCCCCATTGGAGGAATTCCCCTCTGTTTATGTTCAGGTGACAACTGTAAGATTTTGGATATCCCATCTCTATCCAGGTAACAATGGACACCAGAGAGGGTTGTACTATTGAAAGCTCCAACTCATCAAGATCTCCAACTACCTCATTTCCGGTGCTCAGAAAGACAGGAGCTCTGTACAGTTGCCGTGCGCATGCGCGCATAGCGTTTTCGGAATACTCGTCGCGCTTGCCACCTGCTGAATATTGTTAAAATGCAGCTGTACAGAGCTCCGTCGGTCTTTGTGTTTTGCAGTCTAACGCCGTCTGGTTAGAAATCTCCAACTTGCAAGTTGAGGTAGTTGGAGCTTTCGACGAGTTGGAGCTTTCGATAGAACAAGGGTGAATCTCCCCGGCGGGGACACAGCAATAATTATCCAATGGGGGTTAAACCCTTACCCCTTTGCCGCTCTATTCAAAACTTAGGTTTGGGCTTTAAATACCCAAATGAAGCCAGACTTTCTTTTTTTAATTTTTTTACTACTATGTGGGGGGAATTTATCAAAACTGGAGCAGACAAAATCTGGATCAGCTGTGCACGGCAACCAATCAGCTTCTCATTTTAGTCTGTTCAGGTAGGATTTGAAAATGAAAGAGAGAAGCTGATTGGTTGCCATGGACAACTGCTCCAGGTTTTGATAAATTCCCTTCTTTGTGTGTAGCTGTACGACACTGCCCTGTGTCGGCAGCATTCTTAAGAGCCGGACTGCCGCTTCAATACAGAGACGCCCCCCTCTACAGTAACCCAATCAACAATGCCGCTTAGCCAGGGTTGTTTATGTGATTACTTTCGGAGAGGGTGCGTCAGACCGATGGAGACCCGGACCGCCAACCCATGTTCTGTATTAAGGGCCCATTCACATCAGATGCAGTGCGTTCTGGCCTTATTCTGCCTCGCATTGCGGCTGGCTCACTTCTTTGTGGGGCAGGAGAGGGTGTGGCGGGCCATTGAAGTGAATGGCACCGTAGCCACGCCCTCCGGCCGCACGGGATTAGAGCAATAATAATAATAATAATAATAATAATAATCATAATAATAATAAAAAACAATTTTGACTTGTTATACAATCTGAATACATCACATGTAAAAGAAATAATAAGGAGAGTGGACTATACCTGGTTGACGTTCCTTTCCGCACATCACATATACTGCACTTGAAGGCTTCTGCGCTGTTCTTAAAAGTGCACACACTACAATCCCAATATCCTTCATCTGCTGAAGGCTTAGCTTGCCTTTTTGGCCTGAAAAGAAGCAAAATAAAATAGAATCAATAAACATAAAATGACACTTTCCATAAACAAAGAGACTTATCAACTTCCATAAGCACATGGGACAGTCCCAGGATCTGATCAGAAGTAGACACGCATGTATTGTTCTGTACACAGCCGACTTCCTGTCCATAGAGGAGAGTTACCCCATAGCGGTGCAGCTACTGATCCATTCCGTGCTCCGCGGCTGTCATTCCGATCCCTATCTTCACCACCTAGGTAATCATGGGCCTGGATAGAGTACACGAGGTTTGCTTTCAGGCATTACAAACAAAAGGAATCAGCGAGGATGGCCGCTCCGGAAAACTGCAACGGCGACTCCCATAAGTCCTTTATGACCGGATCACTATTTGGGGGGCTCATTCACATGCTGCGCATTGATCAACGCAGGCTCAAGGCAAGGACACGGAGAAAATAATTGAATTCTATGCACTATCCCGTACACATCATACAGGTGCGCTACGTACAGACGCAGCAGGTCTGCATTTTTATGCAGCATAATGCAGCACGTCGCAATGTGTGTGTGTGTTGAACGAATTGTAATTTTGTGACAGTTCAATCAAGTTAAAATAAATTAAAGTGAACAGTGCGATAAGTTGTAATCACGAATCGCATCGCCCTTCACGACGCACACCAGCTCACCTTATACAGAGTGCAATGTACTGAACAGCCGCTAACCCCCTAATGCTCAGTTCTAGGTCTCCGCAACACCGCCAGGTTCCGGCTCCGTACAGGTCCCTCCTCACCAACCGATATACTCCAAAGATAGACGCATCACACACGGATATCCTCCACGTCGCCCTTCACGACGCACATCAGCCCACATTATACAGAGTGCAATGTACACCGGCTGGTCTGAACAGCCGCTAACCCGCTGATGCTCAGTTCTAGGTCTCCACAACACCGCCAGGTTCCGGCTCCGTGCAGGTCCCTCCTCACCACCCAATATACTCCAAACAGACGCGCAGCGCACATGGATATCCTCCGCGCAATTGTTTGTTTCGAGGAAGGCGCATGAGCCACCTGAGCTGACGCGCTTCACCCCCTAGCAGGCTTAGTCAGAAGGCGGAGCCCAGACAGGTCATGTGACGTCTCTAAAATAGACAATCGAGTGGAGGATACCGGCGCGCGCTGTGTGCGTCTTTCTGCAGTAGTGACGCTGGTTCACAGTCACATCCCATCATCAAACAGCATGCAGAAAGCGAACCTCAATGCCTTCTAAACACCACATCGGTTTGTTTACAAGGCCTTTAATTATGCCCATGTGCAAATACGTAAAACGCCCGTAATATGGAATAAAGTTCACTTGAAGGTGAACGCGATATGGCGAGGGGTGAACGTTTCCATCAACTGACTTCTTGTCTTGTCTACCCATAGAGCTCCAACAACTACCATTTCCCGGCCTTAAAGGAACAGTCCATCTTTGCAACACGGATCTCATGACCAACCTGCATTGACTATATTCAGGTAGAGAAGCCTGCAGAGCATTGCACGCCCAAGCAGCACATCACGCATGCAATGCACAGGCTCTTGAAGTGTTTACCTCCAGCCAGGATCTGCAGCCAGACTACTATTGCGGTGATGTCACTGCACCAAAGTGGCAGATGGAACTTGTAGCAGTGTTGGTAAATAACAGGCAGAGCAATACACAGCTGGACCAAATCTTTTTCAAAACAACAATATGATGCACCCTGCCATTTAGGTAAAGGCGTGGGGGCATTTCGGCATGCCACCGTGCCTCGCGTCACACCCTAAATAGGGGATTAACAGGCTCTCAGGTGAACTGCAACCTTAAAGTGGAAAATCAGAAACGACTTATATGATTCAATCGGTCATCAGCAATTGTGATGGGCTCGGGCGTATTCACAGCTACACGTGCCGAGCCCACCAGGAAGCTGACAGCGCCGCAGCGCCAATCACAGGCACGGAGACATTTCCCGATCTCTGCAGCTACGGACCGGGATAATGTCTCAGTACCTGTGATTGGCGCTGCGAGCTTCCTGGCGGGCTCGGCACGTGGAGCTGCGAACACGCCAGAGCCCATCACTAATTAGAATTAAAGCAAACTTTTAAAGCCGTTACAGCAACAGGTTTGTTTCTCTCTTGCTGTAATAAGAACGACAATGCAAGCACACACCCCCCCCCCATCCCAGGTTTATATGGTTTGTTCCAAACCAGAAAAAAACTGTCACCTATTCTGGACAGCTTGGCCTGCCACAGCAAGTGGAATAAGAACGGATCTACTGGCAGGATCAACAGGTAGTTGACCTATGTTACAGGACTCCGAAAAACAGAACTGCTGTGTTAATGCTGCCGAGAGACTGAATCATAGACGTCATTTCTGGTTTTGCCACTTTAAAAGGAAACTTGGAGTGAGGGAATCATGGAGGCTGCCATTGTTACCATCCCTTCTGAAAATGCTAGTTCCTGACAGTGCAACTGAAGCCCAAACTTTTCTTTTATATAATGAATCGGAATTAGAACCCCCCCGTCGGGTTTTTATTGCTGTCTGTGTCCCTGTCAGTGATATCCACCCTCTGTGTTTTGGTGACCCAAATTTTTGTTTGTCACCACAACAGGAAGAGATGGGAAATCCTCCAATCGGGACACTAGTTCTGCTGACCACCAGGGATCTTCCTCACCTTGGGAGGGATTTACTCTCACTTCCTGTTGTGGCTGACCGGCAGGAATTAAAGGGGAATCTCCCCAATGGGACGCATGGGGTTATACAACGCTCCCGCACTCTAGTTCTGGCTTCAGTTCTACTTTAAGTCGCTGACCTGGAACAAGCATAGAGATCGAATTCCGACACGTTGACAGCATGCTTGTTCCAGGTCAGTGACCCAGACAGCCAAGAAACAAGTATTTTTCAAAAAGCAGCTCCTATACCTGGCTCGTGACAGGCTATCTTCAAGTCCGAAATGGCCGATGACACAGGACACCGGCAATGTTATCCGAATGTCAAATCCATGAAAAGAAAATCAGAAACTTGTACCGAATATGAAAATATTAAAGGGAACCTGTCACGAGACAAACCATTTCCTCTTTTTGAAATGCTAGTGGCCTTGCTCACTGATGCGGAACGGTGACACCGACGTATACGATGCCAGTACTTCCCTGATTGGCATACTCGCTCCGGGGCAGTATGGCGCCGGAGGGTCCCGACAGCTAGGAAATGAGCATTTCGGAGGGAAGCGCACAATGCCATGGCAACTCAAGATGGACCAGTAGGCACAGTCTGGGACAATGCCAAGAAAAGGGTAACGGGCCAATACATCTTAAAAAGCAACAACCAGCGCTCAACTTTTTGCTGTCGATGGGACGGCACGTATCCCAGCTCATCGAACGTACCTGCCGACCCAG